GGCAAAACGACTTTCACCGTGTGTTGGCCACATGATCATGTCAGTCAAAAATACCACTTCAACAACAAACAAACAAAATTAATCACACTTTTTGAACAAAAACAATGATTTTCGTATAATAGTTGTTTATGTTCTTTCCTTTAAATAGGTTTAAGCTTGCTGGCTTTCTTGTCATGTGTTCATCGATAGACAACATTTTTTGTGTATTTTGTTTTATCGAAAACTGTAAGATATTAGTGGTTAACCGCCGTTTTTTTTTCTGTTTTGGTCGAATCACTTTTACAATAAAATAGCTTTTCTTTCAAAAGAATTATTCATGTTCTTACCATCAGGTCCATCAAGTAGCTTTAAAGTAAGATTTAGTGGCTTTCTTGGTGTGTGCCTGTTTTCTATTAATTCTCAGATTTCGTTTGCAAAGCAACCAAAAGGAGCAATGCCAAAAGGTTGCGGTTTTTTTAACCCCACTGAACACTCAACACTGAATTGTTTTCAAAAGAACCATTTGTGAGATCTAAAGCAAGCTAAACCTAACGACTTTCTTAAGTCAGTTATAAAACTCATTAATATTCATAAGGCAAAACACATTAGAAATCATAGCCCATGAAGAGAGTTGTATATTACATACAGATTTCTTGTTCATTTGCATAAACTTTAACTCTGATTTTCTCGGTCAGATTGATTTTTTTTTCAAAAGTTTCTTTAAAACCCGAGCTAGTTTACCTCAACGTTTCATAAGTAATATACAATATTCGCGCGCGATCTGTATGACGTTTAAAACAGCTCGCTTTCAGCTCGCTGTTTTAAATCCTCATACAGATCGCACGCTCATATTGTATATATTACTAAGACTTGGATTTCGTCTTCTCTGAGGATTCGAAAATCTAGTCGACATTTTTTCCCTCTACTCATGGTATATGAGCTAGTAGAGTAACCAATCACAACGCGCGCTTTCTCATATCCAGTGATTGAGTGTATAATAATCTTTGTTAGCGCGATTTTAGTCGAAGAATCCAGAAGAGCATTGCTCGCGCTTGGTTTTGGGAAAAAGTTCAAAACACAATCACAAAGGATTGAAAGAAACGAAAAAGAATTTTACTAAAACGATGTTATATATTGATCTCAAGCTGGAATAAGAAAATTATACTCAAAAATATATAACTAGAAGATGGCCAGATAATCTATTTTTAGACAATCAGTCACAACGCACGCACATATAGCACGGCCGATCAAAAGTAGCCTGCGTGCAACCAAACCAAAGCTGTTGCTATGTTCGTCTCTGGCGAATCAGCGACCAAGATAGTGACCAGTGTACTGGGATATATATATACTTGCTGGGGTTTAATTCAAATCAATGGGTATAATTTTTAGAGCAGTTATTATTGAACAATCAGATTGAGTTGTTAACTTCTCGCCACAGATTGATTGGTCTAAGCCTGAGTTTCCAGATCTCGTTGTTTTAGTAGATTCCTATAGTTTGATTCCGTGGTTTTTATTATTGTTTTTTTTATTCATTTTTGATGCTTTTATCGATGGTGGGTTGGGCTAGAAGGACAAGCAACGGTTATAAGATTCTTCTTTTCTCATTGTCTGTAGCCTGATCCAGCGTTGAAATTAATATGTGAAACAGGTTTAGGTTCCGGTCGTCCCAGGTTCCATCGTGTTTTTAACGCAAAGATTGCGAAGGAAACGAAGAGTTATTGGAGGGGGACAAATCTGTCACTCACTAAGTCAGTCACTTTCCTTTAAACTTGAGCCAGCGTTATTTGTGCTAAGAATTATATTTTAAAATAATTAATTCACTAATTTTCCGATACTGGGTTTCCTGTGCTATCTTTGATTGAATTTATTCATTTTTTTGGCAAATAAGGAAATCAAAGAAATATGGCGTCATCATTGGTCTCGAACCTGGGCCCGTTGGGTCTGAAATGAAGTATATATATTCATAAATCGTTTACTTAAAATTTTATTTGTTAAGCAATTATAATTCATCGTATCATTCCGTATTCGTCTACTCAATCAATCTTCGAGTTGTGTTGCCATTGGCGGCTTAATTATGGAGCTGGTGTGTCGCAATCCCCATTGGGCAGTTGGCAGCTTAACCGATGCTTTTTATGGGCCTGCGTGGGTTGGGTTCGAGGACCATGTCACAAAACAGTGACGGTCATAAAATGTATTTGTTCATTTGACTGAAATTGTATTTTTTTTTCGTCAGCGCTGGTTTTTTACATGGTGAAAGATCATTGCATAACTGCTACAAGTAAGAGCTATTTATTAGTGTTGTTTAGTTCGGTGATATCGAGGCAATTATAACAATATGAAGTGTTTCAGTTTTGGATAATATGGGGTTTCCTTCTTYCAGGTTGTCCAAAGGATGTTTTCAAAGTAAAGGCTACTCTCAAACCTGGCTGGAAGTACGAGATCCAAAGTCCTGGTTTTCCAAACATTTACCAGCCCAACCAAACTTGTATTTGGAAAGTATTTTTCCCTGAATCTATGGGGAATCTGCGCAGTAGGTATAGGATGATGTTGGTGTTCAACGCCTTGGAAATAGAGCCGTGTACAAGCTGTGCTTGTGATTGGTTGGCCTATACTTACAGCAAAAGTTATTTACCAACATCCTCTTATAAAAAATGCGGATTGTATTCCAAAAAYGCCATTGACGCTCTAAAGGAAACCCGATCAAGCAAAATTCGCATCGATTCATATAACAAGGAATTGTGGCTACAATTTCRWTCAGATAGTTCTTCCGAATTCAAAGGTTTCAAAGGAACAATAACGGTAGTGAATACAAGAGGACCCAGTTCTTGTTTGMRTTCCAACAWCATCATCAACGAAACAAGCGGAATCATTTCCAGCCCCAAGTACCCATTAAAATACWTGCCAAACCTGTTTATGAMGTGGTGCCTCGTTGTTCCCAAAGGATATCGAGTCAAACTCACCTTTAAGGCTTTTGATCTGGAGAATACTCGTACCAGTGATAACGACTGCAGCAAGGACTACGTGGAAATAAGAGATGGGAAGCTTGCGCGGTTCGGTGAGTTGCTTGGTCGGTTCTGTGGTAATACCATTCCAGGCGAAATCTTCTCCTTATCCAATCAGATGTATGTATTGTTCGTGAGTGACAGCAATACAACCAGCGTCTACAAGGGCTTCAAAGCGAACTTTGAGATGGATGGTAACCATGGTAACCATCGGTCCCATGCTCCCTCCCATGCAGGTAACTTTGCATCTACAAATATCATAAGGACGAGATAATTCTCAATATTCATCCCTCAGTGATTCCTCATATTTCCTTTTTACCAAGTTTCAGGTGATATTCAAGTCAAGCCTTCCTTCACATATTCTGCTTTAGCGATGGTGGTTATGATCGTGAAGAAACTCCTTTATTAAAGAACTATCTAGTCTCTAGTTGACAATCATGATATAGATTAACTATGAATTAAAAATCAATGGCCAAAATATTATTAGTTTAGATATAAGGAAGANGGTATCGAGTTCGTGACTAGTCACCAGTCCCTTTTTGAATTTCGGAACGTGCAATAGTCAACTTTAGATATTTTTCTTCGATGACTATGTACAAAAGAACGCACACGAGGCTCCGGGGAAACAATGGATAATCTTGATTTATTCTTTTATTTCCCCGGAGCCTCGTCTGCAATTCTTTTGTGCATGGTCACTGGACCAAAATATCTAAAGTCGACTATTCATTTGACACAAATTGTATTTTTTTCCTCAGTGCTGGTTTTGTACCTGGTGAAAGATCACTGCATAACTGCTACAAGTAAGATCTATTTATTAGTGCTGTCAGTTAAGTTCAGTGATATCAAAATAGTTGAGTTTTTGATAATACGGGGTTTGCTTCTTTCAGTTTGTACGAAAGAATTTGTCAATAAAGAGCGAGCTACTCTCGAACCTGGCTGGAAATATGAGATTAAAAGTCCTGGTTTTCCAAGCAATTACCAGCCCAACCAAACTTGTATTTGGAAAGTATTTTTCCCTGACTCTATGGAGAATCTGCGCAGTAGTTATAGGATGATGTTGGTGTTCGACGCATTGGAAATAGAGCCTTGTACGAGCTGTGCTTGTGATTGGTTGGCCTATACTCACAGCAAAGTTTATTTAACAACAACTAATAGAACATGCGGATTGTATTCCAAAAATGCCATTTCCACTCTCAAGGAAACTCGATCAAGTAAAATTCGCATCTTCGCGGTTTCATATTACAATGAATTTTGGTTACGATTTCATTCAGATGGTTCTTCCGAATTCAATGGTTTCAAAGGAACAATAACGGTAGTGAATAGAAATGGATACGATAAATGTTGGGATTCCAACAACATCATCAACGAAACAAGCGGAAGTATTTCCAGCCCCAAGTACACATTAAAATACATGCCAAACCTGTTTATGACGTGGTGCCTCGTTGTTCCTAAAGGATATCGAGTCAAACTCACCTTTAAGGCTTTTGAGCTGGAGAAAGATCGTACCACTGATGGCGACTGCCTCTTCGACTACGTAGAAATAAGAGATGGGAAGCTTGCGTGGTTCGGTGAGTTGCTTGGTCGGTTCTGTGGTAGCACGATTCCAAAAGATCCGATCTTCTCCTTATCCAATCAGATGTATGTATTGTTCGTGAGTGACAGCAGTTACGTCTACCAGGGCTTCAAAGCGAACTTTCAGATGGATGGTAACCATCGCTTCAATACATCCTCCCATACAGGTAACTTTTCATCTGTAAATATCAAATAAGGAAAAAGGCATTTCGTATTAGAATATAGCTTTGTTATTCCTAACATTTCCTTTTTACCAAGTTTCAGGTGATATTCAAGTCAAGCCTTCCTTCACATATTCTGCTTTAGTGATGGTGGTTGTGATCATGAAGAAAGTCCTGTAAGACGTTTCAGTGTTCTAGGGACTCTAAGAGACAGTCATGATATAGATTAACTGTGGAATAAAATGCTATGCCTGAAATATTATTAGTTTAAATATAAGGACGACAAGTGATGTCATAAAAAATGTATAAGAATCACTACTTTATTTTAAATTCATTTTATTTCAAATCACTATTTTAGAAAATCCGTATGTATTATTAGTAAAGCCGGTAAATATATGACAAAGCAAAGATGTGTACCCTGTGAGGCAAGAGAGCCTTTCTAAGCTTCTAAGCAGATCTTTGTTATTAAAATTTACTCTTGATAGAGTCAAAAATACATGTTTGCTATTTAAGAATTTACTCATGATAGAGTCAAAAATACATGTTTGCTATTTTAAGTAATAGATGACTTTTCCGTGTTTACATAACCTGATGCAAACACGAGGGTAGGTTGGGAGAATTCGAGACGGTTATGCAAACCCGAGACGAAGTTTTAAATGAAAACTTCTCGGGAAGTGACTAAACTCTTACAATGCTGGTTTGGGGCGTGATTAACAACGTCGTGAATGTATAATGTAATACTCCATTTTCGAATTCCAAGCGAATAACCGCTGTTTTATTTGACAGCAGATTCAATTACGCAAAGAACTTACCAAACACAAAAGAAAACACGAGAAAATGTTGTTAATACAATAGCGCTAACAATTTACATTTTCCCCGAGTTGAGGCTAACCCTGTATTAGAAGGTTCGTACCTTAGGTCTTATGGGAATACAGTGTTAGTCTCAACTTGGGGAAAATGCAAATTTTCAAGGCTATTGTAATAACGACATTTTCTCGTGCTCTCTTTTGTGTTTGGTCAGGTCTTTGAGCCGTTTGGCGTGCGCATGCGCCAGTCTGTTAAAAATTCATTGAAATTCATTAGTGATTCACTTCAAGCGAGAAATTACAACGACACGAAGGACAATTTCCAAAAATGTTTTTGGCTGTTTTTGACCCTGAAATGTTCTGTCATGACTCAAGAACACTCATAAATAGTGTAACCTACAACGAGGAAAAACACTGGCGTTATTGGACTGATTGGGACCGTTTAAAATCTTATTTAACAAATGTTGATATTAATGACTTTGTGTTTACAATATGGAGGCTTGCAGTGGTTTATATACGCAACTACTATTCCAGTTTTTGCTGAGTGCTGGTCAAGATTCAACGCAGGTCATGAAGTAAATGGTAAATGTACACATGGAGTAATATAATTAGGCGTTGTTTAGTAACATCGACCTCGAAATGTTCGAAAGACAGTTTCTTGAAGTGTACAATATTTACGCTTAAATATTATTAACTGTTACATGAAATACTACTTTCCTTTTATATACCACCAGGACTCATTAGAATAAGGCTTCCAATATCAAGACTTATGCTTTGCAAATGGTTTGATAATGTTTTCTTGTCTATGAAAAATGTGGAACGGTGTTAATTCTGCAAATTCTTACGTGCTGTTGAGCACTCACGACAAATTTAGCATTCTTTTGGCTGAAGAGTTGAGCTTGTTTGAATCAAGTTATCATAAATATCTATGTGTAGTTTTATAGCTGTATCATTATAAGTTATGAAATAAACTATTGCAGTGCAATCGATTCACATCTTAGGAATTTATTATTGCTAAAGGTGTGCCCAAATAATTCACTACATTTTAACGGTACAAAGTGGCTTCGTGTTATAAATCTAGCCCGAGACTCACAGTAATTTATATAAAGTTTGAAAGATATTCGTGTGCATTGTAAATATATCTACTTGGTTTTGTTTGGAAAAATGTGGAAGATAAGTAAAAACATCAATTATGTTCAGAATCGAAGCTTCCGCAGCTACTACAATGTTATTCTACCCGTATTCTAGAGCCCATGGTCGTTATAACGCAGCGGTTGCGCGCATGCTCATGCATAAACGGCCTCTTGTTTCTTTGAGCAAGAGAATCTGTTGTCAAATAAAGCAGCGGTTTTTCGCTATGAACTCGAAACTGGTGTATTGTGATTCGGTTTTTAGCGCTTATTTGGCCCCCAAAAATGACTTACTTACACAGATGAGCTAAAGTAGTGATACATTTATAGCTAGCAAAACACTATTTCAAATCTGGCAAATATTTCTCAATAAACCGCTTCTTTATGTTGGCGTACTGACTGCAGTTAAGTGTAGATTTGAATACATAAATTCTATCCTTGCGGGTAATGACCTCCCTAGAGAGCCACCAATGTCCTTCTTACTAATATTCGCTTTGTTATTCGATTTTCGAGATCTTAAAGGCTCTACTTTTACGTTAGATTTGTAAAAAACATGCGAATGCCCACTTTTCTTCGGTTCATCCGACTCAAATAACAGTGTAGTGCGCACGCTCAAGCCTCTTTTTCGTGGCAAGAGAGAGCTTGGGACCGAAATGAGCAAATGTTCCAATGTATGGACCATTTTCTCCAATATAGCTGATTTTTTTCCTTCTATAGTTTTGAATCGCACTTGACAAAAAATGGTGACACCAAAACCATGTTTACATACTCAGATACAAACACGGCCGTCGGCCAATCAGAACGCGCGTAGTATCCAAGTTATTTTATAAATAAACTTCAATGAAATACGTTCGTGATGCGTATCTCCGCGTGTCCATATCCTGTAATATCCTGTATATAGCTTGCAGCTAGCGCATAATGCCATCTTCACGTTCAATAGTGTGTACACATCTCTTATTTTGTAAGCCCTTCTTATTATTGTTTATAGATTTAATGACAATCATTCATCCACAATCCCTTGCTGACCTCTATGTTAAGCAGTTGTGTAAAGAAGATAAGTTTAACACCGTAAAAAAGTATAGGAAATAACTTACTGACGTTTCGGATGTTAATCTTTCGTCGGAGTTAAGCGGCTCTCCTAAAAATAATTCATGGGAGCAAAAATTAAAGGTGGCGACATACCACGTGATGTTTGTATGAATTCAAGAACAAAGTAGGTTTAAAATGATTATCGTAGAAACGCGTGATTAAACTGAAAGGTGACAACAAGACGAACGTTTTTATTGCATTGCCAGGTCACGTGGAGTGCCGCCATCTTTAATTTTCATCCCTGAATCGTTTTCAAACAGGTTTTGAAAAGAAATCACATTCATTTTCTCTCTCCCTAACATTTTCTTTTACGCCTTTTATTGTTCTTTTTCAAAATGAGTTTGTGTAAACTAAATTTACATGACGTCACTTTAATATTTTGACCTGACTTTTATGTGTCGTGAATAGCGAGCGACTAAAAACAGCTCAGCGGGAAACTACTAACGTGATAATTATCACGTGATGGAATACTTACCAATGAAAACAGAGATATTGATTTATCTTGTGACGTCATAACAAAGACAAAATACTGGGAGCAGTAAGTGAAAAGACGTCCACTTGATTGTAGCTCGTGTCCCTGATTAACCTGATTCAAACGGTTAAAAGCGGTGATAATGTATCTTCGCGTGACTCTTAATACTGGTAAGTTTTCTCTCTGTAAATTCGAACAGTCGGATTGATGGTCTTACTTAGTGCCTAATCCCGATCTAAACTGAATTGCTATACCTTGAAAACTGTGGCAAAAGCTGTTTGGCAAAGTAGTGCCAATGTTGGCATGATTCCATGATACTACTTGGGGTTAAGAGTTTGTGCTTCGTTTCCTATGTTTATTAGGTTTCACACCGATGGTTGTTTAATTAAGAATGTAATTTGAATAAAAAAAACAGTAGTTCACATGCTATCTAACAAACACATATTCGCATAGATTTTGGTGTCGGCTTTTTTATTCCTTAAAGTAGATTGTTTTAATAAGGTTTTTTCAAATGTTTGTAGTTGCTGTTGAGTCTTTAGTCCTATAAGAATATCCAGCGAAACATGGTGTCCACGCTGTAAAAAAAATAAATATTGGATTTGAATTGGTAAACAAAACGAAGCCCCTTGCCGTTGGAAACGAAAAGTGCAAATAATTAGACTAACATCGATAGCATGAACACTCCGAAAATTAAAAACAAAACATTGGTTGTCGCCTGGGCAACGACACGAGGAAGCCGTAATAAATTCAATAGTAACAATATATATATCTCAATGTTATCATCTCATAATTCAACTTAACAACACTAGGTATTGATTGAATCGAAAAACATTCTTGTTCAGTGGTTTGCGAATCGTCAGAATGGGAGGAAAAACCGAAATAATCACTCTCTTTCACAGTTAACAAAGACAATACATAAAAGAGATTATATTTTCTTTTATTGAAGAATTGAAAGAACGGTTTACTAAAATGTGCTGCAGTTTCACAATTTTACAGTATTTACGGTATTTAGCATAATATACAAGCAGCCTAATTTATAGCCAGACACGAGAGAACTTCCACAGCAATAAAGATAAAACCAAGATTTTAACTAGTGTAGTAACACCAACTTCAGCGTCGTTATTCAGTCAAGACTACCTGCAGCGGTGTTCGCTTTAAGCGCTGAAAAACAATTACTGTCAGTCACGCCATGTTTGCGTTTCAAAGATGTATAAGGCAGTAATTCAATTATGTTGTAGTTGTAATAAGATATATGTTATACGGCTTACGATCACCGGTCGGATCGCAGCCATGTTGTATGACAGAAAAAACATTTTTTCGTAGATAATGTGAAGTTTGCCCCTAAATTTAATTAAAAGGGGGACTATTACGAAAATGAGTCAAAATCTGAAGAGTTTTTTAAGTCACTTTACAAGCAATCTTAGCCCACATATTCTCTCGAAATATACTAAATAAACATACCATTTACTTTTTTCATGATAATTCCTTGAAAATCCCGGTGAAATAACCATTTTTTGAGATGTCCGCCATTGTTATCGTTGCCTCAGCTTTGAACCGAACGACTTTGACCGAGCGGGCTTGGTAATGAGTATTACGACGTCATTTGACGTCATACAATCAACACAAGTTTCCCGCGATTTTTGAATGTGTGTTGTTAGCTACAGAAATTGTAGAGACTAAATAATAAAACTGAGCCTTCTATGAAAAAATATCGCTATGCCAGCTAGCAGGTGTGTCGTACAACAGTGTGGTGGTGTCTCAGATCCGATAAATGGCATTTCTCTCCATAATTCGCCCACTAATAAATCTGGTGATGCAAAATGGAAGCGATTTATCGCGTTCCATCGAGAAGGCTTCAAACCTGAAGGGCGGTTTGTTATTTGTTCGCGGCATTTTGATTCATCTTGCTTTCAAAGAGCCATCCATATACCAGGAGCAAAAAGAGTTTTAAAACCAGGGTCTGTACCCACAATTTGGATTCCAGGAGGCAGTAGTCAAATCGTAAACGAAACGATCGAGTCGAGAAAGCGTCGTCAGGTGAGTTTATGGCGCGAAAATAGCGCGTTTTTTTGTTCTATTTTTTNCTAGTGTTGATGCTATCTAACAACTCTCTGCACTCTGCTATTTCACAGCAACAAAAACATTCTTCTTTTTTAGATATTCCCTCCAAGGAGCAGTGGGAACAATCACACCTACATGTGAACATTATCATAACAACTCTTAAGAAAAGAACTAAACAGTTTGTAAACCACATGAGTAGAAAACCCTTTATTGCAGAAAAAATCATTTGAGATTTAATAACATCATATTTGATAAAGTGTACTCGATGATTGTCCGCACATTTTGCAAAGTCCACATTTCATTAAGCAAATCAATCAATTAATATGTACGTAAATACGCTATGTCGTCGCTACTGAATCAGTAAACTTAAAAAAAAAACAACTATAGGTATGATCCTACCATGAATCTATTTCGATGTTTCCTTGAAAACGATTTCCCATAATTGTGTCCCGTTCATTTTGTTCGGATGCAACCTTCATGTATTGCTCTTGTTCTTGTATTGAAGCAACTGGTTCGGCGTAATTTTCGTATGAAAAGTTAATTTCATCCTCAGAATTAGATGGTTCATCGCTCCACGAAGAGTCTGATTCAGTTTCATTATCATTTCTAGTATTTTGACCATTTTCTACAAGTCCTTCCACATTAGACTGAACATTCCCCATGTTTTGTCGAGAATGTGTTGATTGTATGACGTAATAAAACTCATACCAAGCCCGCTCGGTCAAAGACGTTCGGTTCAATGCTGAGGCAACGATAACAATGGCGGATTTTTCAAAAAACCCTTATTTCACCGTTATTTTTGAGAGGACATGAATAAAATACCAAAAAGAATGTTTATCCACTATATCTAAACATCTGGGGCTGCTTTTAAAGTTGTTTTTAGATTATTTTCAATTTTGACCATTTTTCGTAATAGTCCCCCTTTAAGAAGAACAAACCGAGTGATCTGGACCACTCAGTATAGCTATCAAACAATCTTCAGATTCAGTTACTATCGTTACTATGTTCATAAATCAGCCATCTGATTGGTTAGTCTATCATTACTCAGTTCCACGTTGTTTCAGTAGATTCCAATAGTTTGCTTCCGTACCTGTTGCTGCTATTTTTGTTAGTTCATTTTTTGGAGCTTTTATTGGGTTTGGGTTGCTTGGGAAGTACAAGTCAAGAAAAAAGCAAAAGCTATAAAAATGTGCTTGTTCATTTGAATCAAATTCTAATTTTTCCTCAGTGCTGGTTTTGTACTTGATGAAAGATCATTCCATAACTGCTACAAGTAAGAACTCTAATTGATATCTTGTTGAATTTTATGATCGCTGTGTATGATTTCGTATTAGTTGATATCAAATCTGTGGATAATGTGGGGTTTGCTTCTTCCAGGTTGTCCAAACGATGTTGCTGTAAATGTAACGGCTACTCTCAAACCTGGCTGGAAGTACGAGATCCAAAGCCCTGGTTTTCCAAGCAATTACCAACCTAACCAAACTTGTACTTGGAAAGTATTTTTTCCCGACTCCATGGGGAGCCTGCACAGAAGTTACAAGATGATGTTGGTGTTCGACGTCTTGGAAATAGAGCCTTGTACGAGCTGTGTTTGTGATTGGCTGATCTATTCTGACAGGGAAAGTAATTTACGATTCAGTACAAGATCATGCGCACTGTACTCCAAAAATGCTATTGCCACTCTAAAGGAAACTGACTTAAGCAGAATCGTCATGCAGTCAGGTTCAAATGACAAGGAATTTTGGCTGCAATTTCGTTCAGATCCATTTTCCGAATTCAAAGGCTTCAAAGGAAAAATAACGGTAGTAAATAATTTGGGATCTAGTTCTTGTTTGCGTTCCAACAACATCATCAACGAAACAAGCGGAAGTATTTCCAGCCCCAAGTACCCAATGGTGTACATGCCAAGCCAGTTTATGACCTGGTGCCTCGTTGTTCCCAAAGGATATCGAGTCAAACTCACCTTTAAGGCTTTTGAGCTGGAGAATACTCGTACCAGTGATAACGACTGCAGCAATGATTACGTGGAAATAAGAGATGGGAAGCTCGGGCGGGCCGGTGAGTTGCTTGGTCGGTTCTGTGGTAGTAACATTCCAGGCGAGATCTTCTCCTTATCCAATCAGATGTATGTATTGTTCGTGAGTGACAGCAATACAACCACTGTCTACAAGGGCTTCAATGCACATTTTGTGAATGGTAAGCATCAGTCCCATGTGCATGCTGGGTATAGGAAACTTCAAATATCAAATAAGGTATTTCTTACAATCTGTTTCTTTCTCCTCACATTTCCTTTTTACCTTGTTTCAGGTAATATTCAAGTCAAGCCTTCCTTCACATATTCTGTTTTGGTGATGGTGGTTGTGACCGTGAAGAAAGTCCTGTAAGACGTTTCAGTGTTCTAAGGACTTTAGTTAGTGGACTTAATTGTGAAATAGGTTAACAATGAACTGAAAATTAATAGAGCGGACGCATTTAATCCTTGAAACTTAAATATCATCTCTATAAGCAATGCTGTTTAGTAGCATTTTGTACTGTTTGCTTCTCGGATGAAGTGCGTCGACTTGATCAATCGGTCAGTTTATTCGAGTGAGTACAATGAACCAGTGATTATATACGACGTTATAATTTCATTATTATGAAAACTAGCCCAAGAAAACATTGCTCAATTCAACATGAGAAACAAGAAGTCTTACAACAATATTTCGACTTTAATTCAAATAAGTCATAATCATGTTGTTTGTGCAGCAACTATTCAAAACAGGGTATACACTTTACTAGTTGGTTTTTACCTCTAGGTCTATTGCTGCAATATGCACGAGCTCCACTTAAACTTAATGCTCACGGGTTTTATATCTATCATGGACATATTTCAGGTCCACTAAATCATTTTCTGCACAGTAAGGGCACGATTATTCGTGGTGAAGCTGCAGGTTCAGCGGTCTGGTTTCAAACCAAAAGAAATCAGACCGGTGCCAGCCCTCTTAATCATTTTGATTAAGATATCAAAGTCGACGTCGTCATTTTACCGATAACTATACTTTTCTATGTTCCGTTTGGCGGGAAAATGAAATATTGTTGTCACTGAAGAGACAAGACTAGTTAAAGACATTCTATTAGTTGTACATAAAGCCATCATACTGCTAATGGTCTCGGTCTTGAAAAGAAACAACAAAACGACTGACATTATTTTGATAATAATCGTAACATGCGACAACTATTGTAAAAACCGTGATAAAATAAAAAAGGAACAAAGTGTACAAACAGTAATAATTGTGACAATAAAGTCAAAAAACCGTGAAATAGACCACACTACTACACCTTAGCAAGCTCTAATCGTATTGTTTTCTTTTGTGTATATATTTTACTATCACACTTAAATTTTGTTTAACGACTTCACTTTAAAACTTATGAACACGAAAATAAAATAAACAGTTGTATTCAAAAGGAGCTGAAACAATCTAGTGACTGGTAGAGTACTTGGCTTTTCTTAAATAACAATATCGCAGTGATTTGGAAGCCCTTGTAAGCGCTCTCACAGCGTTAAGCTTGTTTTCGTTTTGTCTTCTTCATTTTTGATTGGATCGTGGAGACGTCCGCGATCGCGCGCCAGTCAATCAGAGCGCGCCCCAGGGCACCATCGTCAGCAATACTCATGGAAACACGTTTTAAATAATAATTACCTATACAGGTGTATCACACACGCGATCGAATAAGAGGAAAACGTCAGAAATGGGGAAAGATTAACTTCATAAAGTCAAACATGAGTGTAGGGCTGGTGTGTGTGGTATTCTTACAGGTAAGCTGTACCGATAATGCGCATTTCATGGACGGTTAATTAACGGTAATCTACTTCAGACTTTGAATTATAAAAATATCTTTTATTCTTATACATTTTATCATCTTTTTCCTGGACAAAAACTCTGTGTTTTTTTATCCTCGTTATTTTTCATTCAGTTATGATCTGATTGTGAAAAGTTTCAAAACTGTCATCGAAAACACTTTGTGTAGTGAATAAATATTTCCAGTACTTCAAAGGAAGTTTCTTTTCTCAACCTAAAAATGTTTGGAACTAAGTTTTGAAATATTTGCCGAACAAATCAATGAGTGAAGTTATCATCTGAAATGTGTAGCGTTGTTTGTGAAATAATTTTTCAAGTTTATTTCTGTTGTTGAAAGAAATTTATTTTTCTCCCCAACTGGTTCGCGTCGGTGTTGCTTTAAAAGATCCAAATTCAAAATATAAGGGGAGTCCTGACATGGGATTCTTATACTTCAGTCCATACCTATATTTGATAACAGAATATAAAATAGTTATCAGATTCTCTCAGCCGGCACCCATTTAGGCCGTTTAGTGCCCTATCTTAAACGTAAAATAAGGATTGATTGTCTGAATTGTGGTCAAAAGTAACATATTTATAATTACTTCAATACTCCATTCATAGTTTCCCTAAGCCATATTATTTAATACAGTCAAATAATGCATCCCTTCTCAATCTTCCCTATTTGATAAGAGGACCGGCGCCTGACAATTGCGACTTTCTTATATTGTAAACAATGCTATAAATGTCTCTTTCTTATAGCTTTTAACGCTGGTACATACAAGCGATGAAGGTAAGCTTTTCCATAAATAATTCAAACAAGCAGGACTTGTTGTCTAATTGGCTCGGGCTGTAAGCACGATTGCAATGATATACGTTTCAAGTCTTTATTTGGAACGAATCAAAGGAAAACCCGCGTTTGCGTATGGAATAAAGTCGTTGATTTTGTTCCAAAGTGTTGAACTTTCTCTTCAAGATTGTAACACACCTCTCGTTCTACCTGGTAATGCAACCCTAACGTCCACTACAGCTAGAAATCCCAATGCAAAATTTGGACCTCAACAAGCCTTACTCCATAATACGCATGCCTGGTGTGCTGCTTTATCTAACGCTGACCAGTACCTTGCAGTAGACCTAGGGCTCGTTAAAATGATTAAGTCAATGGCAATTCAAGGGAATCCAAACAATGACGAGTTTCTCATGACGTTTAGTATATCGTATGCAGTTCTTGATGGTCAGTGGTTGACGTACACAGAGATGGGTGCTAAACGTATGGTAAGGTTGACACTTTGATAGAGCAAATTTCGTATGAGTGGGAAACGGACGGTACTGTACTGTGACCGTAAACGTACTGTAACCAAATTCTAGTGTCTCATTGGTTCACCAAAATTGTGCAGGCCAGGTGCGGTAACTGTGCGGTAACGATGTCCCACTCATGCGAAATCCGCTCTAGCAGTCGAGATGGTAACTACATTATGATGATCGACATTTTTTGGAACTTTGCGACATTGATAACTACGCAGAAAGTTTTATTTACTTTAATATAACTATAGCCCTATCCATATACGTGTATAATTGATGTGACATTTCCAAATTATTTTATATCTAATTCAGTTCGAAGGAAACTCAAATGGAGGAGAAATAACTGAGCAAGTTTTCAAGAACATCTTCCCTGCTCGTTATATGCGTATCATCCCAGAAACTTGGCATAATCACGTGTGTGTAAGAGTTCAGTTATTTGGATGTGACGCAGGTGCTTATCTAATCAATATAATAAATGAATAAATCTATGTAATATAACAATGGCATCTCTTGAAAAAAACCTAATAAATTACAATAGAATCTTCCTCAAATGAAATTTTATTTTTTCAAAGCTCCTTTTCGTGCTCTCGGGATGACAAGTAGTGCAATACCAAATAGTGCCGTTACATCTTCCTCTTCTCACAGTAGCAGCTATCGGCCTTACAAAGCTCGCATGTTATGGACTTTGTATAGAAGCTACCAGTCTTGGTGCTCCCTTTACAGCAATGTCAACCAATGGCTACAGATTGACTTAGGTAGCTTTGAATTCGTAACAGCTATTGCTACACAAGGACGCTTTATACTAAATCAATGGGTGAAAAGTTATTGGATTTCGTACGCTAACGATGCGACGAGTTTCAATGAGTACAAATACAACCAATCGAGAAAGGTGCGTTCCAAACTAGCTATGTCTGATTGAATGACATTACAGGAACTGTATTGTATACATCACTATATTCATACAAGATTAACGTCATCATTATCAATTTTAGAATTTCATTGGTAATTCAGATCGTGATACTGTTGTCCGTCATATCCTGTCACCAGTGATCTACGCTCGCTTCGTAAGATTCAATCCTTTGTCGTGGTATTACCATATCAGCATGAGAGTTGAGGTATATTCCTATGGCAGGGGTGAGTATTTTACTGAATAACTTTTACGAATCTGCAAAAAAGCCATATTTAAGCTGTTTAGAATCTTCCAGTTTCACCCTGCTTAGTACACGCCCCTCCTCAATACTCGTTCCTTCTGCTCAACACACCTCCTGGAGAATGATTTGATCTCAACACTCGCTTCTCCTTCTCGCTCTCTTGTCGTCATGAATTGTCGTTTTTCCTCATCAGCTTCTCCTGCCGACCTTGGAATAGCATTTGGAAATACAATAGATGTACCGGACGGACAAATCGAAGCTTCTTCAATTTTTAGAAGCAGCAGCAGCAGCAGTTACGCCCCATATAAGGCAAGACTTAATAACCCTGTAAATGCATATGGTTGGTGCGCAGAAAACATTGATTCCTTACAGTGGCTTCAGTTTGATTTGGGTCACACAATGCTCGTGACAGGCATTGTCACACAAGCCAAAGGATATGAAACTATTAAATGGGTGACTTCTTATAAGGTGAGACTAGAACAACTATTAAATGGGTGACTTCTTATAAGGTGAGACTAGAACAACCCTATCAAAAAATATAATTTAGACATCTCATTGAATATCACGTTTTTAGGTATCATTCAGTCCTGATAGCAAGAAATGGGAGTTCTACAAGGAAAATCCGCATGACTCTCAAGTTAAGGTTATTATCACCTTCTTGTAAATAAACTGATAAAACAACCAAGCAGTTGAAAAAAAAAAAAAAAACTGGTCAGAAAACAGTTACACAAACCACAATCATAACAGCAACAACACAAAAACAAAAGCAATAAAACAAAAAACAAACCCTCACCACCACCACAACAATACCCCGACCACCTTCATAACAACAACACCATAACAATAAAAACAATAAACAAACAAACCTTCACGAAATGAAGATTGTTTGCTAATGATGCATTTGGTCATGACACCAGTTAATGATGACCATCTTTTTGGTTTTCAGGTACTCAAGGGTAACGTCGATAAAACCGATCGATTTGCTACAAATTTTTTTAATCGAGATATTGAAACTAAAATCATCAGGATTCACGTTGTTACATGGTATCAACATATTTGCATGAGAGCATCAGTCATTGGTCGACGTAAAGGTAGAAAACAACATAAAATAATCTTTAGATTTCAAGATCCTTCCTCTCTAAACGCTTTATCTTCATGTACATGTTTGGTGTTAAATAATGATCAAAATAATGGCAGGAATCACAGTCAAAAAGAGTTTTGATAAATAACAATCAATAGTCAATCGATAATAAGAATGTTATTTGTGTAGGATCACTTGGTGTCCCTGTGTTCACCAACCAAAATGTCGCCCGTTCATATATCACAGTCTATAAGAACCAAGATGTTACGTTACAGTGTACAGCAGTTGGTGACCAACCTATCACGATCACATGGACGCATAAAGGTCAAATCCTTCAGAGCAAAACGAGTGATACACATCTCACACTAACTAATGTTAATACGGCTCATGAAGGCTTCTACGTCTGTAACGCTACCAATGTACTTGGAACAAACACCAAAAACATCTACCTTCATGTCAAGGGTAGGTTTGAAGGTATTCCTCTACATTGGTGCTTATATCTCTATAACCCCCTCGTCTTAATTCTAGAATCATTTGATGTATGCAGCAAATACCGCACCCTTCTTGGCAATTCACGTTTGGTTACCAGTTTAGCATCATACATTGATGATGACAGTAATCTGAACGAGACCGAGTGGTATGTCTTTATGAACACGAAAGGGATTTCACGTATTCCATTAACCTGCGTTGCTCAGGGCCACTGTGGAGCTTCAGCCCCAGGATACATGCAAGGAGCTTTACCTGCGATCAATGAAGGCATTGTGAAGAGAAAGGTCTGCTTCCATAGTAACGCAGACTGTTGTCACTACAGTGTGAACATCTATGTGCGAAACTGCTACTTGTTCTATGTCTACAACTTGAAGAAGTTGGATTCCTCTTGGATGGGAAGATACTGTAACGAAGACTATATCAGTGGTAGGTTATCATAAACCGAAGTGAGAAACAGAGCCTAAAACTGTACTAACAAGCAAATCTTTTCTTTTAACAGAAATTCCAACCAGAGCATTTCAATCTCACAATGGTCCATCTCTTGCTATTCCAAATCAGTTCATCACTCATCGACATCATGACGTTGACAGTAGTTTAACTTGCATGCGATATTGTTTCCTTGGAAATAATTGTAAATCATTCACTTATAATCTGAAGGTAAACGTATGCGAGTTGAACAATGTCACCATAAGTGACCTGGGTACAAGCTATCAGCTTAATTTCAGACCTGAATATCACTACTATGAAGCACAGGTTTTGCTGTAATTTACACTCACCAGCATAAAATAGAAAGATGCAGCCGAGAAACATTGAACCTCCTCCGCTACCTTTCATTTCTTATCATCCACTTTTGCCTCACATATACTTAATACTAATTTGATTCCTCAGACTGATTTAACACTTTTTATACTTGAGGGTGAGATCGGAGCTTCTTTAAAAGAACCTGCATTCTTATCGTATAGGCAGCATCATTTTCCAAATCAAGAATAAGAAAGAAGACGATCATTTTAGAACGTGGATTTGTTTACAAAATGGAGCATGCCATGACATGCCATTAACGTGAAAGCAAATCAGAAATAGTATGTAGATAATTTAGAAAGCAGCACTTAATTGCACATTTGCAAAAAAAATGGGGGGGGGGGGGGGGGGTGTACTCCCCCAAATTTTGGTGGAGTGTGCCGCTGGGACTTCAAAACCCTGATCCTGTCCCAGAGTAAAATCGCTAAAAAACGATACCCAGTCCCAGAGTAAAATCACGGCACGTCGGCACGTCCCCGTATAGCGAATATAGGGGAGTACCCCTCCCCCCCCGGGTCCTTGCCGAACCTTGAATAACTGTTGTGATCCCGATTCCCAGACATTGATCCCCGAACTCTGATCCCCGAACTCTGATCCCCGAGGCCAAAATATGACGGAAATGTGATTTCTGATCTCATAATATACCCGTCTTAGGATCGATCTGCTGGAATATGATAAGATTATAATGCACTACGACTTGGGGTTAAAACTACTGCTATGAAATATCCATATCTATAGATTTTACCTTTTTACAACACTGCACAATAAAGGTATTTACCTCTCTTTGAAGAAAAACTGCATCCATGTTGATAGCTAAAATATTAACGATGAATAATGTGAATTTCCTTGCCTTCGGAAAAAACGCCTTTCGCCAGGCGTTCCCATACAGGAACGAGTACACCTGGTAACTAAAGATACCGCTGATAAATATATAAAGGCGCACTTGTTCGAAGTCAAAAATGGTTTATGCGATTCTTACTAAACTAAAGACTGCAAACTCCACAAAAAAGAATTATTTTCAAAGACGATATCAATGGACTGGACCTAATTATGCCAGGGGGGTTCTTGTTGTTGCTACATCAGCTGTAGTTGGTGCAGTCGGAGCTTCAGTAAGTCTTCTTACTAAAATTGATATGATACGAGTTTGTTTTAATCATATTAGTTTAAGGGACCAATCACTATTTATCTATTTAT